GACTTAGGAGCGCGATCAGAATGATTTTGGAGGTTCGGAGTAGATTTAGGATTGAATTGGCGAAATTGATATTTTGGCGATTTCCGGTTGGTAGGCGAGATTTTGATATTGGGGTCGGAATGGAATTTCGAGAGTTGCAGTAGTTCTATTGTGTTATTTGGGATGTGTGTGCAAAATTTCAGGTCATTCAGACGTGGTTTGGTTGGTTTTTTTATCAAAAGCGGAATTCGGAAGATTTTAGAAAGTTTGGCTTCAATCCGATGTGTTTTGGTTGATTTGATGTTGTTTGAGGTGTTTTGAAGATTGGAACAAGTTTGGATAAGGTATTAGGATATGTTTGTGCCTTTGGTTGAGGTCCCGGGGGCCTCGAGTGAGTTTCGGAGGGTTGAACGGATCATTTTAAGTTAAGAAAAATTGCAGAAAATAGTTTCAGCCATTGCAGGTATTTTGGTCTTCGCGTTCGTGAGTGGACCCTCGTATTCGTGAAGGGTCAGGAAGGGAGGCGTCAGGTTTGGCCTTCACATTTGCAAAGGGGAGTTCCGCATTCGCGAAGGGCCGGATTAGTAAGCATCGCGTTCGCGAGAGGGTTGGTCGCGTTCGCGTAGGTTGGTGAGGCTGAGGCATCGCGTTCGCGATGGTGGGATCGCATTCGCGAAGAAGAGTTTTAGTCAACGGAATTTTTGTGCTTCGTGAACGCGAGTCGTTGACCGCGTTCGCGAAGAGGGAAATTAGGCCTGGGCAGAAATTTTAAAAGGTCGTCTTGTCCGCGAAGGTGAGGTTTATTTCTTCCATTGTTGGTCATTTTTGGAGCTTTTTGAAGGAGATTGAAGAGGGATTCAAGGGGAATCACTTGGAGGTGAGATTCTTGGACTTAAAACTCGATTCTAATCTGAATTCCACCTAAATAATCATGGAAATTAAGCGAAAAATTGAAGAACTAGGGCTTGAGAATTTAGGCCTTTGATTGAGGATTTAAGGACCATTTGAGGTCGGATTTCAGAACTCTTGATATGTATGAACTCGTGGGGAAATAAAGAATCTATTGATGCAAATAATTTTGAATTTCGAGATGTGGGCCCGGGGGTCGGGTTTTGATAATTTTGGGATTTATGTTGTAAATTGATTATTTTTGCTTGGACTTCGTTCCCTTAGCATATTTTGACGTCATCGTTCTGATTTTGGATAGATTCGACGCGAGTGGAGGCCGATTCGAGGGGCAAAGGTATCATGAGCTAGAGATTTGACCCGTTCAAGATGAGTAATGATTTTAAATGATGTTCTGAGGGTTCGAAACCCCGGATTACACATCGTAGTGCTATATTGAAGTGACACACATGCTTGATGACGAACGTATGGTCGTGCACTATTGGGGATTGTGACTTAGTCCGTTCCGAATGACATTTTACCGTGTATTTGACTGAAATCCATTTGCTATTATCATGATTTAGGCTGAATGCCATATTTGGGCCTTGTGCCAACTACTTGAACCCTTCGGGGATTTTTACTGGTATTTCCTCACTGATTTGACTTTATACTTGAACTCAGTCATGTTATATTTCACTATTTTCGTACTCAGCCATGTTTACTCTGTTTTTAAAAACTTGCATGATTTTTTAAATGATATTTTTGGGCTGAGAATCATGTTTTACCATTGCCCGAGTGGCTTGTGAGGATTTTGACTGAGTAAGGTCGAGGCCCTATGTTGTAAGGCAACATTTGATACTGATTATGAGGCCGAGGACCTGAGATATGTACGCCATGAGGTGGCTTGATTGATATAAGTCCGAGGGCCTAGTGATGATGCCACGAGGTGGCTTGATATCGAGCTTGGGCCGTAAGGGGCCCCTCCAGGAGTCTGTACATCCCCAGTGAGCACGGGTACCCATTGTGATGTGAGATTGAGCCCGAGGGGCTGGTATTGTTTTGAGATGTTGCTCGAGAGGCAGTTTTGTTGATACAGTGCCCGAGGGGCGAACTTCTATGCGTTTATTTTTCCTCAATTGTCGTCAATTACCTGCTTATTTATTGAATAAGGATTTTTCTCATCTTTTCACTGGTTCACTGTTTTCAAATGGTTTTACTGCTTCATTATAGAATGCCTTGTGCCTTACGTGTTTTCTTGCTTTCAGTCTTTATTTACTTTTGTTACTCACTGAGTTGGAGTACTCACTTTACTCCCTGCACCCTGTGTGCAGATTCAGGCGTAGTTGGTCTTGCTCCCGAGTGCTGATCATTCCAGCTTCAGGCGGATCTGAGGGGTCTTTAGGTAGCTGTTGTCGTTCGCAGCCCGGAGCTCCTCCCTATCTCTTTTCCTTTATGTCCTTAGTTCAGTACTAAACTCTGTAGTTACTTTGGAGTATTCAGTGTTGTTAGATGCTCATGACTAGTGACACCCCGGTATCGAGCTATGTTGGGTTGTTCTTCTGCGTATTTATGATATTATCGGCTACTTGGGTTTATTTATTTATGCTTAGACTGTTTCTTATTGTTTAACTGTTTAAAAATGGAATTGAGTTTAACTAGCTGGCCTTGTCTTCACGAGAGGCGCCATCACGATCGGGTCCGGATTTAGGGTCGTGACAATTACATTGTGAATTGAAAAAATTTGTGACGTTGTCCGATCTCAGTACCTTTACAGAAACATCAAACTGATTTCTTACCATTGTTAAGAAGTCTTTAAGCACAATTGAAACCTCACATGTGGATTGAATTAAACAGACCCAAGTATATCTACTGTAATCATCTACTATAATTACAAAATATTATTTTCTGTCAAATGTAGCCTTTTTATAAGGTCCCCAGACATCAACATGAATCAACTGAAAAATACTACTAGATTTACTCTTACTAATAGGAAAACTTAACCTGATTTGCTTTGCCATTGGGCAAACTGGGCAGTTCTCCTGTATTGTAATAGACTTTATTCTTTAAGCTAGGGATATGTTGCATTGCAACTGTTGATGGATGCCCCATTCTTAGATGCCATTACTCTGCTTCATTCACTCCTCCAACTATCGCTGCTCCTACTGTGGGTTTGAACTCTCTCTATAGAATGTAAAGACCATTACTTTCTCTACTAATCCTCATTACCTTGCCATTGTAAAGTCTCTAAAACACACAGAAGTTAGGGGAAAAGGTGACTTTACACAGTAGATCCTTGGATAATTTTGACACTGAAAGCAGATTAAATTTTAAGTCTGGGACATGTAATATATTTGTGATTTTATGACTCCCTAAAATCACTGTATTTCTTGCACATGCTATGGAAGATCTGCTTCCTATTGGCACTTGCACTCTACTGTCTTGTTGTTTTTCTAAGCTTCTTAGTTAATCTAATAGTTCCTTGCATGGTGTAATATGATGAGATGCTCCAAAATCAATTATCCACTCACATGCATAGGTACTATATAACAATGTAACAGTACCTGCCATCACATTTGAGGTACTGTTATTTGATGGTGACTTATTCAATAGGCCCATTAATTGTGAGTATTCTTCCTCAGTGAAGAAATGTTCTTGCAGCTGATTTTCAGTTGTTGCATTATTGGCATATGGTCTGAATCCTCCACTAGACTGTGCTCTGCCACCCGGCTGGCCTGTGTTTCCACCAAATTGTCCAGTTTTCTTCTTATTTTTAAAATCTGGAGGGTATCCTACAATTTTGTAGTAGTTTTCCTTCAAGTGACCCTTATAACCATAGTGTTCACAGATTAACCCTATGACTTTAGGTTTGAATCCTTGTGTCTTTCCTGCTAACATAGTTAGTGGATCCCTGTAGGTATCTACCACACCAAGTATTCTTTAGCTTTCTTCCTGAGTCATAATTGCATAATCTTCATTAATAGTAACTACTGGTCTCCTTGCAAGTATGTTACTCCTCACATTCTCATAGCTTTTATTTGAGCCCATAAAGAATAGCAACACACGCTGAGATTTCGAATGTTCAATTGATCCCTTGATTCCTCACAATCACAGTAAGAAAATGGAGCCAAAACATCCAACTCATCCCATAGGTCTTGCCGAGGCAAATGTGTATTGGATTTTCTTGCTCGTGCTTAGTCAAATTCTAATATAGTTTAAGATATTGTCCCATAGAGATTGGAAAATCTATGCTACAAATTGTAATATTTTAGTCACTATTTGAGAGAACCAAATTGATGAAAAGAGTAGGATTTTGAATTTGTAAATTACTTAAACAAAAACAACTTGTGGAAAATTTATATTTAAAGAGAGTTGGGAATCATTGAATTCACTTGACGATATTTTTATAATGAAATCTCAATTTTTTCATATATTTCCCTAATGAATAATTGCTTATTGCTAATACAATTATGTTTTACTCACTATAAAGTAAACAATTAATAATACTCCTTGAGGTTATATTATTAACTGACTTATGACTAGTGACGATAAGACCGAAATATGTGTCTTGCCTGAATTGTGCTAAGAGGTAGTAAAAACTTCGTGAGAATATTTTTACTACAAAATCAATGATATTGCTTATAACAATTCCTCCATGAGAATTAAAATTGAAGTAAGAAAAAATCAAGATTTGGAATGCTAGGTTGCTGAAAATTACCCTCTATCCATTGATTCACACTAGTAAGTATGTATCGATTTTGCTTCGTGAGGATTACAAAATCAATACAAGTAACTTGAGAAATAAATAGATAGATGTGGCTAAGCACAATATAAAAGTGGAGCTAGAGAACCTCAGGCCAAGTATGTAATAAGATTGAGAAAA